ACAAAGAGGCCGCGTGTAACACAAATGATTCTAAGAACAATCTGTAATAATCGACAAGTTTTGCAATAAACTACGTCGCAATCGTGTCGCGATTTTGAATTACCAATTGCATCCGTTGCAAATTTTAATGGATTCGCAAACGCTCGCGAGGGATTGATTGTATGATTCCTCGATGACGTTTGAAATATAAACGCTCGAAGAAGACGCGAACGCACGAATCGCACTTAATCAACTCAACGTCGGGGTGTTCGCAAGACGGAATGGCGTAGCAGCGTGTGGGCATTTTTTTGTGCATCGATGACTTCTGTCGTTACAAAAGCTCACATTGCATGCGAATATCCTCCGCGAGAACCAGCGGCAGCTTTTATATTTAATATAGGATTATAATATATATATGTCGCGAGCTCTCGTAATGCATATTTAAATGATACGATCTAGGAAGGAAAGTAACGCGCAGCCGTCATACATCAGATTCTCGCCTCGACCGAAAGTACTGAAATTATATATCATAATTGCAATATTTTCGGAAGCGAGAATCCGTTGGAGTTGCTCGATTTCGCGAATTCCACAACCTTCCTCGGGAATCGTGACCAAGGGATTTCGTTAATTCTTCAGCTACGCTAATGAAGAACGCTGGTTCTCATTTTTCTTACAGTTCCCCCATGGTTATCCACGCTCTTGATGTACGCGTGTCATTACGAACGAACGGAGAAAACTGGAAGGAAAATAAATTGTCTATGTTGTTTATTTGCAAAATCGAGCGTTTGGCTACATCTTCGCGAGTTAATCGATTAGATTGACGCCTGCGATCAGCTGATATTAAGATTTTGAAAATACATATTGTAAAATTTTCTGCGATATCGAATCCTCCAGCACTTTGCATCTGTGAACTCACGAGTTACCATATGTCCTCGTGAGTTAAGTCGCGTTCTGGACGAAATGATAGACCAGCCACGCGCTAGATCCGCCGACTTGAACGATAATCCTAGGTAATCATTCGGTTCGCACGAATGTAGTGCATTCGTCCGAATTTCACGGAACGCGCTTTCTATCCAACGAACGATATCTGTACTTTCGGGTGGCGGACGTATCGCGAAAGTTGCCTCCCTCCCTAGTATTGCAAAATTTCTAAACCGACGCAAGTTTTCCGCTCTTGACTCAATAAAAGCAAAGTTATCTTTAACTTCCTGCTGATGATCCGACCAGTGATGATTATTTTCCTCCCGATGATGATCTATTGCTGTTGCTGTTGCTGCTGCTGCTGCTGCTGCTGCTGATGTTCATTCTCGAAATTTTGCGAGAATTCTTCTTCCAAGGCGGTTTCTTCCCTTGCATGTCGCGAAGTGCATGTGTGGAAGCAACCGCGAAAATAGAATAGTTGGTACCACCGCCAGTTTGTACTGTAAACAAAATTAAATAAACCTTATTAATCTGATAACATCTATATATATTAAGTCAGAAACTTATACTATTAGTCGTAACATTATAGCATGACAAGATAACTCACCTACAGCTTTACATGATCGTACATGGATGGATAATGTTTTTCTTATTTGTAAATTTTAATATTCCGACGACATAGGCAGAACAGAAATACTAAAATATCTGTTTAAGTATTCGTGCAACAAACAAATTTAAAGTAAAGAGTAAAAATGACTTTAGGAAAAATTTGAAAAGTTAAATTTTAATGGATTTTAATAACTCAGGATGTATTAAGATCATGATATATAGAAAAATTAAATCGTAAAGTTTAAGCAATAAGCGAATCGATTAATCACACTGATAGGAATGGACATTATTCAATAATTATTTATTTAAATAACAAAAAAATAAAAATTTATTCATTATTCAGCTACTTGTGAATAAAAATTTATTCGTTATTCAGCCACTTGTAAATGATGAGTAAAAATTTATTCGTTATTCAATTATTTATGAATGACAAATAAAAGTTTCAGGAACTTACTCTTATGATCGAATAGCAAAATTAATACATTAAATCACATACATCTTTTTTGGATTAAGTATCAATAAAATTGTTGTTATTATTATTGATAATGGGTTACTATTACTGAAAATTTACAAAATTTGTAAGCTTTTTGTGAATTTGGTATCA